GTACGTCGTGTGTGTGGGGGGGGGGGGGGGGGGGGGAAGGGGGGACGTGGCGATTATACGCGCTGTGCAGCTCGTCAATTGTTTTGCGCAAAGTAGGATCTTTACTATTAATTGAGTTAATTGATCAGTTATAGTGTAATATTGAAGTTATAAATAAAAATAAAAAAATATATCTATTTAAAATTGCAATAAAATATATAATTTTAGATTTTATATTAAAATTGCACGTTGTAAAATTGCAATTAAAAATAAAAACATTATTAAAACATTTAAATGAGAAATATTTGAGTGCGTAAATTTTGCAAATATTTGGGCGTGTAAATTTTGCATTCTTGGTTTAATTGCATTTTTGAACTTTTACTCACGTAAAACGCAGCAGCAATGACCAGCGATAATTTTCATTCGTTGCGTGCCAATATCCGTAAGTAATCTTTACACGTGGATGAATATACGGCGCACCTGCGTCGCTCGGGAATGGCATAAACCCCAGGAAATTGCACCCTCGGGGTATCGTCTTCGCGAAGTCGATCAGTCTACAGACGATTGCGTCTTCCGGATTTTCCAGATTATGCAAACGCGAGCAAGTTCGTTTGTCGATAAGTCCGGAATGAGATTCTGGAAATTAAAATATCATCTGTCTCAATGCGTTAATACATGAACTACATCATTGTAATCGATATATAGATATAAAGTATTTTTATATGAAAAGAGAGATTTATCTTTCCAAAATTTTATTATTTAAAATATTAATTAATATTATATAAATAATGAGGCTGAAAGATGAAATATCGAAAAATCACACAAGAAAGATGAACAATCCGTAATTTGTGCTAAAATCGTATACTTATATTACAAATCTTCGCTACATCAAATTATAGATGGTTCGGCCTTTAATTAGGCCATCCTCAGTATACAATACAAATTAATAAGCATTACAGTTAAAGTCCGAAACAAATATAAAACGGATATTTGGCGTATAAAATGCGACGTGCTTAATCTCGTTTGTCGTTAATATTGGCATTTATTTTATTATTAGTTTGTATGCGAAATCAAGTCGCACAATCGATTTCAGTCACGTTGCTAACGTCTGAATAGATAGCGTCTAAACGCGTGTGCAGATTACTTTTTTAAAAGATCTATGTACTAGCAGGCGAGGATGTTCACATGGAAATACGAGGATTTAAAGTACGGTTGATCGGAAACGCGATACGCAGACTATGGTATCACAAGAAAGAAATCAGGTGTCGAACGATCGAGGATTTTCGAGAAAGCAGTTTACGTCACTCCGTTGCAGACCCATTTCAGACTTTCCTATTGGTCGACATCAGATAAGCCACTATGGAAACAAACTTTTCGGCAGTATCGTTCCCAGTTCTTCCCCGGTTTTTCTTCAGAGTGAAACCCTTATTATCGATATCCAAATCGCAGAGCTATCTCGCAATATCTGCGGTACTGCTAATAACTTCCGGTCCTTTTAATTCAATTTAATCGAGAGGCGATTTCCCGCTTCCGTTATCTGAATAGTTTACAATTTCTCGACAAAACACTTCTTTCGTTTTCAGAAACTCTAACTTGTCAATTAATTTCCTCGGCAGCATGCAAGAGGTTGGCTAATTATTTACTTACTATTATGACCATTTTCTCTTCACGATAACACAAATAAGAAAAAATACTACGCTTAAATAAAAGAAAGTAAAAATTGATTTATAAAAAGTATCTTAAAAACTGTGCAATTTCAGTAATTTTTAAAATAAAAAAATTACTAGATAAATAAAAATAAGATAACAATGACTTCTGCTTAATATTCATTATTCACGTTTAGATATATTTTTATTTGATTTTACGGCCTCCATCTTTTTGATTTAAAAAATGTAACTGCTAAAGTACAATTATTTATTGTTGTATCTTAAGCATCTTTCTTCCTGTAGATAAGAAAAAGCTACCTTGAGGTGTTGTTAATACGCATCAATCTCGACAGGTTAAACGGGCAGAAAACTAATAAGAACCAGGCGACGGAGTTGGTTGATTGGTCGCACTCGTCTGGAAAAATAATTGAACGCGTTTCAATATAGAAAAAAGGAGTGCTATCGAGTTTCTATTATCCGGCTGACACTTAATCGTTATCAAAGTTCAATGATAGCAGAGCGGAGATAAAATTGAGAATTGAGACTGTTCTCGAAAAAAAGTCCTATGAATGCAGACCCTCAAGTTAACGATTTATCACCGGCTTGTCGTCTTCTATATTCTACGCGAAAATATCCCAGATGTATACGTAGAACTATTGACCCTCGCAACACGTTTAAAGAGTCAAGAAATATGGCTCAATCGCCTCGACGCTCTTCAATACCAGCTGTACAAAAATGCGACGGTTTTTATAAACACATTTCACTGCTACGCGGATGCGTAAAAGTTCCAGCACACTACGAAAAAATTCGTTATTTTTGCAAACGTTGTCCAGAAGGACAAAAGATCTCCACTCGCCGTCGGCAGGATTAATGACTTTGTCACGTAGCACGGTATCGCGTGACTACCGACGAAAGAGAGAAACGCGGAAACATAAAGAGAAAACTCATCGCTTTTCACATTTATCCTTTTTGATTTCCGCAAAAGGATCCAAAAAGAGATATTCTTGATAAAAATTGTCCGGTCACTCAGGTGTACTTATTTATTTAAAATAAAACAACTCTGGATACACCCTCGAGGCAGGTGGTCAAATCCTGCCGGCGACAGTAGTGGATCTTCATGGATTTATAGCCTTATTGGGTTTAAGTTGCTTGCAGAAAGATAGCTCCGACACCTGGACACGAGAATAAATGAACAGTTTGAAGGATCTCCGTTGAATTACTTGAATTTGTTTTCATCGTTTTCTCTTGGGAGTGAAAATCGCGGCGATAGCGGTCATAGCATGGACTAAACGACATAATCGCCGAATATAATCTTAATGTAATTTTATATTTGTGAAATGCGTGAAAAATATCTTGTTGCATGTAAAATAGTTTTCCATAACATTGCGACACTTTCTATATGCATTTAGACGGTGAGAGATAACTCATTCTGTCATTAGAACTTCAAAGAGTAACGCAATTAGTTTTACAAAAGCAGGATTGCCAAACCAGTTTTGAACCACAACAACAACAACAACAACAAGTTTATGAGCAAAATCATAATTTACACGAGTTACTGTCTGCACAATATGTTGAGTAAGCTACTGCAAACCACGTGTGATACGTTGTCATTCGTGTCAAAATAGCCTCCAGTAAAATGTTAATTGTCATAAGCGCCATATTAATAATTATTATTAGTAATGAAGCAACACATATAGATGTTAGTAATAAATTAAAAATACAATTTTATTCACTGCATACAACTGAATTTTAATCCCTCCAATAAAAATATAAAACTGTTCATTATTACGCTATAATTTAATTTACGTTCACAAAACCAGATACTGCAGAGACAGGTAGATAAAAACATAGAGTCATGAATCATATTTGAAAATGATTTGTAACAGAATCGATATCGAGCGCAGCAGTATCCGCGCGGTGTATTTGTATTACGTCCGCGTCGGAGCAGTCCGAAGTTCGCGATGTCCATTAAACATCGCGTAAATGTCCACGAACGAGAGAAAGAGAAGATACATAATCTCCCGTAAACCCAAAACCATTACCATATACAAGTCCGCCTTTGTATCAAGCGCGTCCCCTGTAAATATCGCCGTTTCCCTTTGTCAATGCTTTACGCGACCGCCGCTTCCAACGCCACGTCCGCTGTTCCTCCCGGATCCTCCCTTATCCCTGAGTCGCCGTCCTTCATCCTCTCCTTCAGCCCTCCTCTTTCCACCATCCTCGATGCGCTTCTTCACACGCGCGGATGCGGATACCTCTTTCTCTTTAACGCGGATTACGGCAAGTCTCGTTTCTCGGATCTCTCGCCAGGTGATAAATTCGTTCGGCTCTGCCGCGAACGGCGCGTCCTATCCGAATCGCCTGAGATATCGCACGTTTCCCCTTCTCGGCGAAAAAGTCTCATGATAAATTCCGAAAAGATTTTGATACGATCGCCGCGCAGTTCCAAAATCGTAGATGGCATAAGTTTGTGACAATGACAGGATATTGTACGTCTTGGCGATATATAAAAATATAAAAATAAAAATTACCATTTTGCCCCTAAAGTTTGATTTACATATAATTTCGACTGTAAATCAATCTCTAATAAAATTTTAAAAATTTACTTCAAATAACAAAAATATCAAATTAACGTTTCATATTTTTGTACCTCCACTTTCCGCATTTAATCGCCAAAATCTGAAAGATAACTTGATATAACTTCATAAATAAATAACAGTTTGAAAAACAACAGCCATGGCGGTATCTTAACACGATCAGGAACTCTATTCAACGCGATATAATTTTCCACCACAGATGAGTCTTCATTCGATGTAATCCCTATTTCATTGGCAGCCCCCCAAACGAGTTTGCGACGTAAACGAGTTTGCGGCTTCACGACTTTGCCGCCTCCTCGTTACTTTATACGGACGTAAAGATACACGCTCTTTATCAGGAACGGCGTCCTCGAGGAGTTCCTGATTGGACGACACTTCCCAAAGCATAAAAGACGGTCGTTCGCGCCCGTGTTGGGCTTTTCCCGCGAATCGATAACCGGGGAAGAGAGATGATATCGTTGTCTGCGATAAGCTCTGGCCGATGCCGCGAATATACAGACACACAGCATCGACGAATTGATGGAAATTCTTTCTCCAAATCTATTTGGAGTATCAATTCGGACGGCAGTAGGACGTTTTATCGAAAATGTGATTTATATGACGGTTATGCTTGGGTATGTGCTCTTATCTGCAGGTCAATATCGCACGCAATTGATTTGATAATGGTTTCGACGTGGTTTTTTTTTTGGCGTACCAACGTAAAAGTGACATCCCAAGAATTTCGCAGGAATGTAAAAAGAATATGTATCACTATTCAACCGTGAAAAACGGAGGAAGTAATAACGTATTGCTCGAATACGATACATGTGACTCGATTTAAGATGCCTTTGCCTCAACTTTTATTTCAGTGGCTTGGCTGTATCTACAATGACACTGTGGCATGAATGAAACCAAAACCGGCGTTAAAAGCATGTCCGTCATGTCAAGTCGTCCGTTTATATCGTGTAACGGAACTACGTAAAAGTTCACCAAGTGTGGTGTTTCAAGTTTTTATCTCTTGATATCGTGAAAGTGGCATTGCATTCTATTCTGTTGAAGCGACTAATTCCTTCCTTATAATTTAAATATTACATAAGCTTTATGAAACAATACTTTTCTCACAATCAGTGTCGTAATTTCCGTCTCAAACAATAGTAGTAGTAAAACAACAAGATATTGATCAAATCTATAACCTATATATTCATTAATATTTCACGTATAAAATATATTGTTATGTCTAAAGCTAATCTACAATTTATTTAATTTAGAGAAACCAATAAATGTGTTGATTTATAAATAGTTTAAATAGCATAATTAATTTTTTTTAAATTGCAAAAAAATCTTTCGTAAAATATTTCATTAATTTTCTCTATTTTTGATCAATGTTTTTACAAATTAATATGTCAAAACTTAT